GAGCCGCTCTGAAATGTTCTCTTAATTTTCCTTGCTTCGCCGCTTTTGGTGTAGGATCCCATATTTTTATGGCATTTGAATGGCCATCAAGTTTCACCAAAAAAAAGAGAAAGTATCAAAAGATTGGTTGGATTTGTGTTAAATCCTGGCATTGAGATAGCTGAGCAAAATCCTTATGGAGATCGATTTGTAAATATCTTTATAAATATTTTCTGAACTTATAGACATGTCTTAGATTTGATGAGTTCCAAAACCTAATTCACTAAACATTTTTGTCCCAAAAAAAAAAGTTGAGCTGGATGTAAACAAGAAGACTAACGGTATTAGGTCAAACGGAAGGGCTTAATCCCTCACACCATGGCTAACCAAGGTAGGAATCTCCGTTAGGAGAAGTGTCCATATTTAGTGTCGATAGTGTCTCAAATATAATTATCTCTAATGAGAGAATACCTATGTTTTAAGAGGGAAAAAAAAGGATGTAGCCAAGAAAAATGGGCCGATGAACTTGTGCGTCGGGCTTGACGTGGCCAACGAATTGATCTGGGCAAATTTCCTTTTCGGTGATACTTGTCTGGGCAATTTGCAGAAGGAAGAGAAGGCTTGATAAATTGTTGCCGTGATTTGATATTTTTGGGAAGAGAATCAGTTTTTTCAGAGAGGGCTTTTTAGTATTTTTGTACAAAAATTAGGTTTCATTTCCAGAACACCCCATTTCCATGTCCATTTTTATATAAATCACTTTTAAATCCTATTTTCATTTCTATTTTCATACCCATTTCTATTTCCATCACAATCAATTCCACTATACCAAATGTGCCGTAAAGAAGAACAAAAATATAGTGTCTAAATCTTCTTTCAAGAAGACAACATAATTAAAATTTTCAATTTGCTAAAGACATTTAATTCTTTTCAATTATCAGGTTTTAAAATTAGTAAATATTTGCAAATCAAATTGTTATCCTGAATCCTAATAGAAAACTATCCATTATTGTAAAATATCTTCATATTTTTCCATCATGTTAGATGATGTAATCTGCGAAGAATTAAAACAATTTCAAGAAAATATTAGCTAAACAAAAATGAACAAATATAATTATTAAATTAATTAAAACATCTCAAATAATGAAAAAATAACATGCGGGGCCTAAACAGGCCAGTTCTTGATGGACTTAAATTTAAATGGGCCAGCCTGATGAATTCAACCTATTTTTCTGACTCTATAAATAATCGTCTGGAAATTCACCTATATTAAAACTACCAATGAATTCTTTGTCCATTTTGTACTTTTGTGTTGTTTCTATTTAAATAAAGTATTCACGGGCTTTTGATTCTTGCCTAATTTGTTACTCTAGGGTCACAACTACGGTGTGAACTGTGAAGCGTGTTTCCTACCGACGTCTATTGATTCATAAGATACTTCCCAAAAAACATGAAAACAAAAAAAATCAGATCGTATTGACTGGTTCGACCAAAAAATAGAAAACTAATGGTAGTCTAGTTTGGTTCAAGTGCTAAACTAGCTAAAAATCGAACTAAAAGGAAGCTGATCAAGCCAGTATAAATTGGTTTGAATGATTATATTATTATTGATCTTTTTTTTTATTTAGCTCCCAATATCTCTGTTATTATAGATTTGAATAAATTTTAATGATAATTTTGGTACTAATAATTATTAACTTTAGTTATTGAGAAATCGTAAAGCTCAAAATTTTCAATTTTATTGTGCTTTGTTATTGTTATAATCAAACTATCATTGTATTTTTTTGTATTTTGTTACTATTGATTATTAATGTTGTGGTATTTTATTATTTTCAATTCAATATTATTTTAATATAACCGGTTTGACCCCAGATTAATCTACTAATAGTTGAATCACTATTTCAGCCGATTTAGTATTTAATCCAATTTTTTGTCCCCTGCTAAAAAAAATAATATCACCATCTTTGTAATTATTTCAACTCCACTTTGCACCAAAAAAACAAATATTTGGCAGCTTTTGACTTTATTTAATTTTGAACATGTTTTTTGTAGAAAAGTAAATTTGCATTAATAAACAAAGGTACATAAATTATATTATATTTACTTTTCAAAAAAATATTGAACAGTTTATAATTAGAGTAACTTTTTAATAATGCCCAAATAAATTTTTGTCAAACTAATTTTTTTTAAAAAAGTTTACCCAAATATAAAATTATATTGTATTTTTATGCTGGCATTAATCTGTAAAAATTTATTAGCATAAAAATCACTTTTAATAACGTAATACGAGTCAAACTACATTTAGAAAATTTTCTAGAAACATCACATTGAGCAATCCAAATCATCATTGAGACATCGATGGAGCTCTTGATCCTTGACTTTTTTTTTTTTTATTTTTTATTTTTGGTGAAGATCCTTGAGGTTGACCAGTCGTGCGGCCTAAACAAGTTGTTCACATTGAATGCATTCGCCCACATGTTCACAATTTATTAGTGATAATTAAATGCTCATTTATTTTGATTCTGCCCCTTTGACCAATAATATGTACATACTCAGAAAAATTATTAATGAGGCACATGATATTCGTACATGATTTATTGTCAAGATAGGCTTCAATTTAGCCATCGACTAAAATATTTTGGAATATACATTGTTTTAGATTTATTTTAAAAATAACAGCAGGAAGATTTTTCTTTTGCTTAAAAGCCGAATTTTTTTGTCGGCGAAACAAAAAGCTCAATATTTTTTGTGAAGATTGTTAAAATATTTTTATAATGAAACATATTACATTATTATATAAATACAGGTTAAATAAAAATGAGTCAGTTTATTTTTTAAAATTACCTTATGATTAATTTCAATTCAACTCCCAAACCATTTTCAAATCTTTCTGAAACTTTAAATATCACTTTTGAGCATGAAAGTAAGCTTGGGAGGATTACAAAACATTTAAAAAATCTTTTGGAAACTTTATCTAAGTTTGGTTTAAGCTTAAAAATGTTAGATCTTATCATCTAGGCATTTTTACAAAAATTCTATGAGCTCAGGGCTAAAACACTACTTCTCCTGTTCTCTTCGTAGGCTACAATTTTTAGAGGGTGACTTTAGATTGGCAGTAAAAAAACCAGTGATTTTTTTTAATCAATTTGACTTTTAGAAATATAAGATTGGATAAAAATTAATTTATATAACATGATTTGTGTTTGGATTGATTTTTATAAATAATTAGTTTGTAAAAGTAGAAATGTGGCTGTGTTTAAATTAACGGTGAGGAAAGTAGTTTTTATTTCATCTTACTTAAATTTTAAGAAAAGAATGAAAAAGCGTATCTCATTGAAAATTTAATTGGTAAAAATGATTTAAATCAAAGTATTAGTGTTTCATATGTAATAAATTTCCAGAGTATACCAATATTTAAATTCAAACACAGCCAATTAAATGTAGTGTTTCAAAATACTAGTATGTATACAAATTTATCAAGCTTTTCTCACCAATTAAATTTCTAATGAAACTTTTTCCCAATTTTTCCCCAGTTTTATTATTTATTTTTCATTCTTTCAATATTTTTATAAATATCAAATTACTAGATCTCTTGGAGTAATTCTATCTTTACATTGAAGTAACGTAGGATCCATTTCAAGACCCTTCTCTCTTCTTCTCTCTCTCTCTGTTTTTTTTTCATACAATGGTCATTTTTTCCTCTCACCATAGTTAAGAAGTTGAAAGCAGCTCCATCCTGGCGGCGTATGCTTTTTAACCATTTTTACAGCCAAAAGCCAAATTGATGAAAAGTTCATCCATATATACGTAAATGTACTAAGTGCACCTTTTGGGATGAAAACGTAGATCCAATCATGAACTGAATGGATTTGGTTACATGTAGGATATGCATAGATATTTAATGTTTTTTTTTTTTTCATGTTTATCCCAATTAAATTTACATATCCCTCTCTTCCTCACCCATTCTTTCTCTCACGCATCTTCTCTATAAATAAGAGTGTTTTGAAAAATAAGTTTTCTTTTTGGTAAAATCTATTGCATCTAGCTCATTTAACTATTTCTTTATCAACATAATTTGGTTGTTTGTATTTTATAAAACTTTAAGTTAGCTCCCTTCTTATAATAGAAGACTTTCTTCCTTAAGCAAGGTGCCGAGTTTCCAAATCTGTCTCCAAAATTCTCTCTTATTTTGTTTTTTGCCCCCCATAAAATTCACCTAGTTAATTCATAATCCATAAGATTAGAGGGTTCAAGTGGCTAACAACCTTGTTGAAGGCTGATATATAAGTGCTTGGATGAGTCCAATGAGATGCTCCTTCGATCCTAAATATAAGATCTTTATATACACTACTATAGAGGTCTTACATTTAGAAATAGAGGAGTATATCCTAACCTTAAGTTCCAACTCACCGTAACTTTTACTTACCAAAAAAATCTATTTTATTTACCTACACATCACAATAAAGATATTTTTCTTTCAATGCAAGGTTAAGTAGTTTTAGCTGATCAGCTGAAGTTTAATTTTCATGATGTTGGTTATATATATATGTAAGACCCATGTCACATGTCTATTAATATTCTCTCAACAATGATCAAGTAGGAAAGGAAGAGAGATAATTAAAAAAAATGATTCGGGTGTTTTACCAAAAAAAAATCATATTAACTAATTTAGTTAACATTCTTAATCTACTTAAAATGATTAATTAGGTTTTATATTAGAGACATGAGAATATATTAAATCCCTTTCCCTCAAATTAAATCATAGTGATGAGTCAACCAACCCATTCGATGCAAACATTAATTCTGTTTGAATCTTATGGCCTCTAATCGTTTCGTTGTCGACCAAAGTAGAAAAATAAAAACATCTGATGAAGACAATGCCATTTAGATAAGGATAACAATTAATGAAAAGGCCACTTGTTAACTGCCAACTACTCGTAGGGCCCTTCCTCTCTTCTGGGGTCTCTAGGGACAGCGTGTATATATATTGGGTACATGCACAGGGCTATTCACAAATACTATCAACAATGGCTTCCAAGTTGGCCTTTCTTCTTCTTTCTATCTTTGCTATCTCACTTCTGATCTCCTCGGAGGTCACAGCTAGAGACTTGTCTGAGTCTTCCTCAAATAATGGTGAGATGAATCCCTTTGTTGTGAACCTCTCTCCAGTAGTGATGCTTTTCTTTTAAAAATAAAATAAAATATAATCCTCCACTGTGTAATTTCTATATTTTATTCATTTGTTTTTATCTTGCCTCGTCACTTTAATGCTTTAGTTAAATATTTGGTTTTTTGCACCAAAGCTTATGGGATCTCAAAACCTGCTATAATAACAAAAATATCCCTCATATAAGAAGGAATATTATTATGTTGTGCAAGTTTCCTTCCCCTTTTTTTGGCCCTGAATTAGTAGTAGGCTGTCTAGAGTTATTTTGGGTTAATATTTTAACCAGAAGTTTTATACAGCAGGGATCGATGTATCCAATATGTCATAGTATATTATTATTCTGTGATATTTATATTATGATGGAGCTATGTTTTGGTTCGAAATCCTTACATTTTGCCGATACTTAGCCATAAAGCTATTATATAAAAAGCAGAAAACTTTTTTTGTCTATATTCAAGAGAAAATCTACTATGTATTTCTCTTTTCTAACCGTTCTAGTTTGCAGCTGAGGTAGACACAATGAAACATGGAGAGGTAGAAGATGCCAAGTATGGTGGTGGCGGTTACCCAGGCCGTGGAGGCTATGGGGGTGGCGGTTATCCAGGCCGTGGTGGCTATGGCGGCGGAGGCTATCCTGGCCGTGGTGGCTATGGTGGTGGAGGATATCCCGGCCATGGTGGACACGGTGGTGGTTACCCAGGCCATGGTGGCGGTGGACACGGTGGCGGCGGACACGGGGGAGGGTATTGCCGCTATGGATGCTGCGGTGGAGGGTACGGAGGAGGCTGCAGAAGATGCTGCTCTTACGCCGGTGAAGCTGTAGATGCACAGCCAAACACTGAATCTCATAACTAAAAGTATTATGCATCAAGTAATGAATAAAGCTTGGGCTTACAGGTGTATACCAGGGCTTCACTTTCTTATAGGAGTGAGGTTTCAAGCCTCAAGTGGTCAAAGTAGGATTTGTGTGTAATTTCCATATTTGCACTATAAAGCATGAATATGATATATGCACAGTACTGTGAGATTGCTTTTGGCAATCAAGATATGAAGATGCAATTAATAAAAGAGAAGTTTGGCTATTATTGATATCCTAGTACGTTACAAGTCCTCATTAACGAATTAGCAATATGTGGTTTACAAAGTTCAAAATTTTTGCAGTTGTTAAACTCGAGATGGAAGGTTAATGAATTAAGCTATTAGTACTTTACAATTCCAGATTAAATATCATTTTGGAGAGCTTAGGCTCGAATAAAAAACTAACATTAAGGGTTCATTTGGTACGGGGTAAATGGAGCAAATATTTTAATGAATTCTATAAATTGAAGATGTGGGGTTAACAGCTTTTTACTAATTTGTTTCCTCTTTTATCTTACATATTCTCTTTATTAATGTTTTATAACCCCATTTTTCTAATTTTTTAAATTGATCTCATTAGAATTTCTCCTCTCTTTCTTTCCTTTGCAATTTTCTCATACCAAGCATGACGTAACAGTGAACTTCAGAATGTATGAAATGTATTGGTCCGAAACTGAATTTGCAATGAAATTTTTTCCTTTGCAAAAAAAAAAAAGTCACTAAATTGATTAACCATGAAATTTCACTAATTACCGATGGTGCTAATTTTGAAGCCAGCCTATTCCAACTTAGCAATGAATCGTAGCACCTTAAATCTTTGCATGAAAAATTAAATATGTGTGTGTGTGTGTGTTTATGTATACATAATTATTGAAAAATACAAACATGTTATATGATAATTTCAATTACTTGTATGATAAAACTCTAATGTTATTTACCTATTCCAATTCCCATCCCGTTCTCATTTCTTGCAAATTCGTTCTAAATACTAAATATCGCCTTGATATATATATATATATATATATATATATTTGTGCCCCCCTTCTTTCATTCTACCTAGTCCCTCCCTCCCAATTATTTTTTAAATATTATAGCTAAATTCGATATAAAGGAGAATCAAAATGTAACTTTTTTTAAATTTCTTTTTTACTTATGCTTCTTCTTTTAACATTGACTTTTCAGACAAGATATTTTTCAGGAATAAAAAGAATATCCATAGCATTATATATTTTTGTAAAAATCTTTTAATTTTTATTATTTTTTCGCTATAACTTTAAACATCAAAGTTCTAGTTGCAGAAATACGAAAAATACAATCATCCAAATATTCGATCATAATAAAAATCTAATTAATTTATTTTTTCCATTTTTTTGTGTGTGTTTTTTTTATTAAATACCTTGATAAAATAAAGTATTCACACGCATTTGACTCTTGCGTGAGTCCACTAGCTAGGACTCTAGATCGCTGGAGGACAGTTTGGAGCTTATTGCCACATGGATTCTAAGTTGGATTTTAAAAAAAAAAATACATTTAGTATCATTTTGAGGTTTTTTTTTTCAAAAATTACTTTAAAGTTGAACCATTTTTTTAACTGCTGCCTTTTTGGTTTTTTTATTTTTAATTTCTTTAGATGTGAATTCTCTGAAACCAATTTTTCAATAAATTATTCAAACAATTTTTTGCATGTCGAATTTTTTATATTTATTATTTCAAGTTTTTTAATCATATATAACCATCGTCATTTTTTATTTCATATGAGTTTATAATTACAGCTATTAAATACTAATATTTTAAAATTAAGACACATGGCTATTTGACATAACGGATATAAATAACTTGATATGAGTATTCTCTTTTTTTGTCAAAGGTTTTTTTTATATAAACCTGTACAAAATTAAATCACTTTAGATTAATTGAGTCTTATCCTAACATCAGTTTGCAAAATGAAGTTATTAGAATAAAAATGATTTTTATGGAGAGTAGTCTAAACAAGTCCTAAATTAAACTTTGAATCCCGAGGGAGTCACATTGCATTGAGAATATATACCAAATCAAACTATATTTAGAAAATTGTCTAGAAATATCACATTGAGCAATCCAAATCATGATTGAGACAACGATTGCGCTCTAGATCTTTGAATTTGATAATTCCTGTGGACAAAACAAGTCGTTCACATTAAATTCATTGACCCATATCTTCAATATTTATGAGTGATTTTTTGCCAACAATATTTATGAATGATTAAATGCTCATTTATTTTGGTTCTGCCACTTCAACTAATAATGTACATAATTCAGAAAATTATTAATGAAGCAAATGATATTTCGTACATTTTTTTGCCTGAAAATGATATTTCGTACATGGTTGATTGAAACTCAGGATAGACTCTAATTTAGGCATCGACTAGAATATTTTGGAATTTTCATGTTGAGAACTATTTATCTATTACTATTATAAGGAAGGGGTATCTGCAGGACCATCTAGAAGCGCGACAAGTGACACAACGAGAAAGGAGATAAATGCATCAATTTTTTAATCATTTTGAAATAAAGAGTAATCTCTTTTACTAATTAATAAATCATTTAATAATTGTTTTATTATTGCATATATTGGTTGCCCCACGTTTAAGATCATGCAATATGGAACGTGGGTAGATTATTTCATTATAAGTAATTTTTGTATATATTGGTTGGCCCATGTTCTCTTTTACTAATTAATAAATTGTTTAATAATTGTTTTATCATTGCATATATTGGTTGCCCCACGTTTAAGAGCATGCAATATGGAACCTGGGTAGATTATTTCATTATAAGTAATTTTTGTATATATTGGTTGGCCCACGTTTAGGATCATGCAATTATGGAACATGGGTAGGTTATTTCATTATAAGTAATATGTTTTGTTTTGTAAATATATGATGATAGTTGTTAAATTAAAAAATTATCCACATTGTCCCGTATTTCGAGGCTATGTTATGGGTAGTTTTCTGATTTCAAATTAATATTTTATGTTTTAAATTAATTTAATTAATATTTTAAATTGTGAATTAAAACTGATATTTCATTAAAAAGCCACAATTGGTTACTATTTGGGTTCAAATTAATATTATTTTAAATTACAGTTAATAATCTTTCAAATGTTAAATTAATATTTCTTATTTCATAAAACTTAAATTAAAATTTATAGATTAAAAAGCTATGAACTTACAAATATGTTTATAAAATTAAAGAACCAAATAATTGAATAATCTTATGTGCTTGCATTGTTATGTTTTTGGGTGGAATTTTTTAAGGATGGTTAGTCTTTCATAAATCAAATTAATATTTTATATTTTAATTTATTTACTAAATTAAAATTAATATTAATATTTCATTAAAACCGGCAAAAGTTAAGGTGTTAATATTATGGGTAAGGTCACTATGCGCACAAAATCTGCTGCCCACTATGTGCACAAAATCACTTGTATCATCCTAATATATAGGCCACTATGCGCACAAAATCCGCTACCCACTATGCCCACAACTATATGGTATTTTGTGCTGTATAACTGCTATGTATTATGGGTGGAACTGTTGCTACATCACACATGTGCATTGCTAATAACGTTCTTTTTTTTTTTATTGTAACTGTAGATGAATTTTTCGCTCTATAAAGAGCAGGAGCCTATGGATTTATTTCAGTTAGCAAATTTCTCCTGTTGTTATCGCACCATCAGTGTTCTCCAAGTGTTCACATGGCTCCTGCATTTGATTCAGTTCGTGCTATTAACCTATGCAGACAAAATTAGAAAATCAAAGTTCGTGTGGTTCGATTATGGACTATGCCAGGATGCTACTCTTATGAAGAGATATCATCCATGGAAATGATTCTCAGGGATGAGGATGTAAGTGTTTTACTGATTAATTTAGGCATCTTCTTGTGTTCTAAGAGTTATTTTCTTACAGGGTGACAACATCCATGCTATAGTTAAGACTGTCTTCCTTCCATGACATCATAAGAATTTTGAAGAGGGAAAAACATATGTGGTGTCGTATTTTTATATTTCTCCTAATACAGGCTCATACCGAACCATTGATCATCCCTACCAAGCAAACTTTATTTTTTCCACTTATGTTCGACCATATGCGGATGATGGCAAAATAAACAACTTTGGTTTTACATTCCGTTCATTCTTTGAAATATTATCCGATCAATTTGATGATCGATATCTAAGGTAGGCTATTATATAAGTGTTGGATATGTGATTATTATGTTAAAATTATTTATGGTGAGCTAACTCTATATTTTCTCTTATAGATGTCATCGGGTTACTAACTGGAGTGGGAGAAAAAGAAGAATGCAATGTCAACGGACGCACATAGTTTAGGCTTGATGTAGAGTTATTGGGTGAAGGGTACACTCTTATTCTGAGTCTGTTTCTCCCAATTTAACCAAGTCAATGATTAAAAACTTAGGTTTAGAGTGGAATTTTTTCTTTTTTTTTCCTTTCATTTTGACAAGAAGGAAAAACTAGAATGTACATTGTGGGGAGATTTTACTAATGAAGTTCTGTAGCATGTGTCTCGTGTCCACGCTGGTTCTACTATCATCATCATTCAACTGTGCAAAGTTAGGGAATTTAAAGGTATGATACTGTTTATTTGACACCATAGTTACATTGGGTTCCTTTGAACAATAATAAATCTAATTTTTTTTCCATGTAATAACATGGCAGGAAGGAAAAAAGTTTTTAATTCCATGTACTCTTCCCATCTCCTGATTCATCCCACAATACAAGAAGTTCAAGAGTTTGTGCAGAAGTATGCAATTATATTGGTTTGAGTATAATAGAGTCTACATTTATTCCAAGTTTTATTGTATATGATAGCATTTATCTTTTTTTCTTAAATATTTTTCATAGATTGAAAAGTGTTGGGATTTAGTTGGGCCAAATACCTGCTCGAATTGCTCCACAAATTGTAGTATTTGTGGCCGACGATCTATTGGCTGTAGATGACCGAAGAAAAATAGTGGATTTACGATCTGGACCAACAGTGCATATATAGTGCAATGCATTGTTTTCTACTTCATTGGTTTGTATTTTTGTCATTCTTACTATTCTTATCTTAATACTGAATATATACCTTGTGTTATTTATTACAGGAATCTATAGTGGTTACTATGGCAGATGTTGTAGATGTGAGATCTAATTGTGGATGGATGTACACATCATGCAAACAGTGTAGGAAGAAA